ATGTTAGATGTGTGGTGATGTCCGCGGAGGTAAAGAAAGTAAATAAAGCGAGCGACAGGTATGTAGATCAATTTCTCAATGAACAAATGAACGATGAGATCATATGGGTTTCATCAAATCTAAATATATTGTGATTCTGCAGACTAACTGTGGTCCGCGGGTAAACCGGAGCGGATTGCGACGTCTTTAATCCACATGTCAATCCACAATCCGCCTTTCGGCACGATAGCTTCGCGCATGTGGAAGCAAAAGAAGACACCGATCGACGTCTTCATCCACTTGTACGGAAAGATAAGAAATTGGGGTTAAAAAAAAACAGAAGACGCCGGCATATCTTCCGTATAACCTGGTCGGCGCAGGAGGAGTATATCGTCAACTCACAAGCGATCTTCCCAAAGAGCACAGCCGATTGCTTCTTGGCACATGTTGTCTGTGCCTGCTGAGAAATTTTAATACATCGATCGCCACATAAGTGGAGAGATTGGGAATCCAAGTCGTGACGAGCCAAGAAGAATATTAAAGTGGCCCACTAAAAACATTTGGTGTTTTTGAGGCAAGTTCCGCACTAAACACTAAACTTCTGTGGGACGACAGTTGAGTCAAGCAAAAATCCTATAGAGTACGATAAATTGAAATGGGGATATGCCTACGTTAGACACATGTTCAGAGGGAAGTGAACTGTAAAGTACATGCAAGCTCCCAGTAAATTGCTCAGTCGCTGCTGCAGATCTCCCACTACGTCAAATTGTTGAACCTTCGTCTATATATGCCTCACTGCAAAATTTGACCTTTCGCTTCAGTAACAACTACGATACACAGGCATTAAATCTTGGATTCTATCAGACATTGTCTCTGATCTTTGGTGTGCTTTGTCATTGGCGTGCTTTGTCATTGGCGTGCTTTGTCATTGGCAAAGTGCCCCTGACAACTCTCATAATAACTGTAACAAAGGTGGAAATTTCACCAGTTCTGGCTTTGGAAGGACATTCATCATGGAAGAGTCGTATTTGATCACTCAGTTCTCATGTTTGATAAGATTAGCGGCTAGTTCACCTGTCTGGTAGGTGAATAGCCATTTGCAATTCGACACTTGTATCGTGAGAGGATGAACACGAACATTGAAGATCGATTTCTGTCAACTGTGACGGTCTAACATTTAGCAAACAATTGCCAAAAATTTACCCGGCTCCATATTAAAAAATCTAGTATCAGTCATTGAGCCTGATATGCTGCCACGAACATCAGCCACTACTAAATATATCTTTTACTCTACCTGCAGTAGCTTCAAAATTACAGCGCAGCCACCCAAAAGGGATACAATACTGTTAAAATCTAGGATCATATTCGGGCTATACTTTACTATTTGTTATTCCGGCCTATGCAATCACAGATACGGAAACCTTTTGAATAGCCCTTCTGCTTTCATGCCAATACATGGCAGGGTCTCGAAGCCTCTCGTTTAGATAGTGACGAGTAACGAGAGCATCACTAGCCATTGTGCATACTAAGACAATCTCAATGAACGGCTGCGTGTCGAATTGAATCTAAATCATTTCTTTTTCGTTTCATATTGGCTGTGCCATTCACATACAGCGCTTAACCTTGCTAACATTATGATCAGGAGATATATCAAGCTACTCAATCACGTTACTGGACTAACACCGCTATCATAACAAATTTGATGAAATCTAGTTGCACTGATCTCAGCACTGATCATCAATTATGCGACGAACAAAATTCCAGTCCATCTTGACGCAATAGCATGATTAACGCCAACTAATTATAGCTGGTTAGCAATTGGAACAATTCAAACCATACCTCTTACGAATATTATTGCGGAAGCCATGCCGCACCTGTTACTTCATGTACCTTATCAAACATACTTCTGCCGGTCGGCTGATCCAGGTTATATGTTTATCAATAAAAGCCGATTTTTGTATACATAGATAGCTATGTTATACGGTTTCAGATGTGAGCCCTTACGTAGACTACCCTTAAAGAGCGTGAAGACTTAAGAACTTTAAGCATAGTGTTAATTTACGCGGGCCATAGAACATAGTGTAACGTCTGCGAAAATTAAGTCTTCAGCTAACCTACAGAAGTCAACTGAACGAAATCAACACATGTGCAGACAGCGAATAGCGAAGAGTTTCACCAAGATCCTTCAGTGTGGCTGAGCACAAACCCTTAACTCGTTCTGGCAGCGGTTTGTAAATCAAAGGCTCCGCACATCGTGTTTATGAATTCCGAAGGTGAGCAATATATGCAATACGTCAATCTACGTCTCCCGCCTTTTTCTTTACGAGGCGCAAGGGGAAAATCTCGGGCCGTCTGTCGTCTACAAGTAGAGCCCGAAACTGAGCGGCTATGGGACGAGTTTGTTTATTCTACAGACATAGAGTACTAACGATGGAAGATAGCCTTTCTTACCGAGATCTAGCTCCGTAGCTATGTGCTGACGGATGACGTTGCAGCACGCACTCGGATCTAACCTCCCCAAGATCGACAAGCCGGAGGAGACAACGAAATGAACCGGCCGAAGTAAACTGGGCCACAGCTGGGGGATCGACCAAGAATGACGCCTACATGGGTACATGGCCTCATCGTCAATAGGCTATCTGTCGATTGAGCGATGCAATATCGTTTCAAATCCTGGGGAGAGCATGCAGCCGAGGAATCGATTGCTAGGGACGAATCTGCGATTAGAGGGATAGAGGCTTCAGTGCGCATCCTAAACGTTTTCTTTTTTGCGCGCATATCTGTAGGTCATCGCGAGATGACACGTAACGCTCACTTCATCAACTTGAAGAGCACGCCTCATTGGCAATTTTCTGTGCCTCACTTGGATCTTGGCTGCATGCATGCGCCATGCTTTGATGATGCTGCTGCCCAGCTTGACCTGGATTTTAGAGTCTAGAACATTGGAGGTGCAGGTTCAGCTGGCCAGGCTTCGTTACGGCGCTAACAAGGCCCTGGACGGGAGCCGACATTTGTCCGACAGGTCAACTTTGAATCTGTGCAACTGATGACGCAGAACTGCCATCAATTGGTGTGGCACCACCCCACATTCACAGAACTTGGCGACGGACGACTCGATTTGCAGCCAGACGCCTAGCATTGAAGGATCGGGATCGCTGCGGATGGACGTGGAGGAACAGAGACCGGATTTGATGCGAGAACTGACAACTGACGGCCCAACAGCACGGACGGAATGTGGAACACCCGAGAAGAAAGGGCCGCTGCTGGTCACAATTAAGCTTCATCTTGGACGAGATTCACTGCTGCTTAGTAGCACCGCCGTACAGAAAAACCTGATGCTTTGCAACAACATGTTTCGTGTGAGACAGTTGGAGGACAGTCGCAAACTACTGTACGGCTGCAACCTTAGCTTAGGCGACATAATTCGCTCGGCCGTACTCGTCAGTCCACAGCTGATATGCAACGGTGAGATGCATGTCTCCTATCGCTGCCGCACGGATATCATGTGAAAAATGCCAAACGAGAGCAAAAATGCCACATTTCCGACGAACTGGGCACTCGTGGGGCTCACGGCTCTGTCTTGACGCCGTGGAACAAGCCCTTTCCTCTTGCTGTGGGGAGAATCTGGCCTGGCTCGATGGCAAACTCGCAACGAGCCGACACTAAAGGACCGCTCTGAAAAGCTTATTCCAGACAATAAGACGAGCGACTATTCATGTGTGGTTTTTCGCTGGGGCGAGCCAAGCTCGCGCGTGGCGCCAGAGCCTCGGCGTCGTCAAAGCCAGGCTTTGTCGAGAGCGAATAAGGAGCTGCCGCAAAGCTGATTTCAAAACCAAGTTTTTTTTTCCTTAGGCCAAGGGTATGACGAGATTGAAGTGCCCTTGTCGCGCTCTCTGCCGTCCAATGGCCCACAAAAGCACAGCTGAGCAGGGATGAAGCCGCAACGCCAATGCAGGCTAAGACCAGCCGAGCAGGGGACGAGCCACGAGTTATCGAACGGTGGCCCCTCTCGGAGGGGGAAATGAGATTATATTGAAACCAAGGAGGACAGAGATAGAGAGAGAGACGAAAAAATCTTAAAATTGCCGCTAGGGTTGAAAGAGCGGGATTGGGGAAACTGTCAGGAGGGAGGCGCAGGCTGCATGCGAATAATTGCATATTCAACCGCTCAGCGATAGCTGGCTATGTCGACTTGTTTGTCTCTTCTCAGCTTTGTTTCTCGCCTCCAACTTTCCCGACGTTGCACGTCTCATTTGGTCGTCTGGTATGGCCATCCGTTCGTTACCCGCCAAGCCACAATCCCACAAGCTCCAATAGCAGTAAGCTTAGGATCTAATCCCTCTCTGAGCATAGAAACAAACAAGTACGTATAGCATTTTTTTTTTTTCCTTATTCTTCTCTGTCTCGGCCCACACACAGGCTAGATCGGCAAGTTGGCGCCGCAGCCGGGTCCTTGCCTGGCTGAGACAGTGTCTTATTAGTGGCGTGGCCAACTCATCAGGCGCAGCTTGGAGGGGACGAGAAGAGGAAAGACATGGCACTAACTGTTGGCTAGCTCGAGCAGTGATCAAGAGGGAGAAAAAGGGCATAGTAGAGGGGAGCACATCTCAGCTCGTGCCTTTCCTTGACGGAATACGCGTTTAACCTCTTGTCCGGCACCCACTGCCGCTGAGCTGAGAACTCGGAACTCGCCTTCCCTGTTCATTGCGTCGCCATCGACAGATCGATTGTTGATCAATCTGCTAAATTCAATACACGAGTACTTTTGTACTTATCGTTGGCGTTGTTTATCCCGCCTTTTGCTCTCCACTTGGCAATCTTGTTTGAATCTCAAAATCCTTGCCCTGCCCGCTCTCCCTTGTTAGCTTGCACCTTGCACTTGGCATCCAATTCGACTTCACAATTTTCCTTCTTCTTTATTCGCGTTGATCACGACGACATTACATACATCTTCGACACCGGCCCTTCAGCATCGAGCACCAGCTGACGCGCGCGGCAAGGGCTGCGACCACGACGCCAAAATGGGCAACTTTATCAGCTGGCTCGACAAGAACTTGGCTCCCGATTCCAACCAAGGTTCGGCCCAAGGCACTCAGCCCGAGTCGGCATGGGGTAAGCTGAATCTTCATCGAGATATGCAAAATAATAGACTTAATTTGTGGCTGACTGAACTCGCGTGTTATGTTAGGCATGGTTGATACTCTGATTCCTGTACTAGTTGTATCAGCCATCTACATCATCATTTTCCTATTTCTTAGAAAATCACAACGGCGCTACTATGCGCCGCGTACATACCTGGGGTCCTTACGAGAAGAGTGAGTAACACCTCTGGCGAAGTATGAGAGTTTGAGGATTGATTTGATATTGACGCCCATGTAGTCAGCGGACACCAAGTGTACCCAGCAATCTACTGACCTGGTTTTCCGCATTCTGGAAGATCCCCGATGCCTATGTTCTCACTCACCAGAGTCTCGACGCCTATCTCTTCCTCCGATATCTGCGCATTTGCTTCGTCATCTGTCTTGTCAGCCTTTGTATTACTTGGCCTGTTCTCTTCCCTGTCAACGCCACAGGAGGCAAGGGACTGTCCCAGCTTGAGATTCTATCGTACAGCAATGTCGACATTGACACCAAGAAGAACTATCTCTATGCCCATACCTTTGTTGGCTGGGCCGTCTATGGCTTCCTCATGTACATGATCACGCGCGAATGCATCTTCTACATCAACTTGCGACAAGCTCACCACATCAACCCGCACTATGCCAAGCGAATTTCTGCCCGTACCGTTCTCTTTACCTCAGTCCCGGATGAGTACAACAACGAAGCGCGCATTCGCAGCATGTTTTCTGCGGTCAAGAACGTCTGGGTCTGTGGCAAGACAGATGAACTCGACGAACTTGTTGAGAAGCGAGATGAGGCCGCTATGAAGCTTGAAAAGGGCGAAATCAGTCTCTTGAAAGAAGTTAACAAGGCTCGCGCCAAGGCTCTGAAGGACGGCGGAGAGCCTCACCCCGAAGGCCCTGGAACTGCCAATACCGAAGATGGCGATGTTGAAACTGGTGACATTGCTTCCCGCTGGATTGCCGACAAGAAACGACCGCACCACCGCCTGGGTCTCCTTGGTCTCGTTGGCAAAAAGGTCGACACTATCGAATGGTGCCGCTCCGAGCTGCAGCGACTGGTCCCCGAGGTTGAAAAAGCCCAGGCCGATTGGCGAACTGGTAACTACGAAAAGGTCCGCGGTGTTTTTGTCGAGTTCGAGACCCAGGGCGATGCTCAGTTCGCCTTCCAGTCTGTCACTCATCATTTGGCCCTGCACATGGACCCCAAGGCCATTGGAGTTCAACCTGGAGAAATTGTCTGGAAGAGTTTGACCCTCCCCTGGTGGCAGATTATCATTCGCCGATACGTGGTGTACGCTTTCATCGCCGCTCTCATCATCTTTTGGGCTATTCCTGTTGGTATTGTTGGTTTGATCGCCCAGGTCAACACTTTGAAGACGATTCCAGGCTTGACTTGGATCGCGCAAATTCCCAAGGTAAGCCATCTCAGACCACAAGGAGATGCATCATATTTCTATTGTCATTGCATGCGCTAATTGAAGATAGCCCATTCTCGGTGTCGTGTCTGGTTTGCTCCCGGCAGTGGCTCTCTCAATCCTTATGTCGTTGGTTCCCGTCATTATGCGACTGTGCGCCAGACTCGCCGGCGAGGTGTCTCAGTCCCGCGTTGAGCTGTTTACTCAGAATTCGTACTTTTTCTTCCAGCTCATCCAGGTCTTCTTGATCCAAACCTTTACCAACGCAGCCTCAACAGCCCTTGTTCAGATTGCTCAACAGCCGGGACAAGTCTTCACCATTCTCTCATCGTCTCTGCCAACAGCATCTAATTTCTACATTTCCTACTTTATCGTCCAAGGCCTCACGATTGCCACTAGCGTTGTTACCCAGGTTGTCGGTTTCTTCGTCTTTACGCTTTTGTACAAGTTCTTGGCCAAGACGCCTCGAGCCATGTACAAGAAGTGGACCAGCCTCAGTGCCATTTCTTGGGGCAGCGTTCTCCCTGTTTACACCAACATTGCTGTCATTAGTATGCTTCTTCCGTGTAGCCCTATTAAGTTTCCAACGTTTACTAACACCCTGTCTTTTAGGCATCACGTACTCAGTTATCGCTCCTTTGATCTTGTTCTGGTCAACCATTGGCATGGGCCTGTTCTATCTGGCCTACCGATACAATATCCTGTTTGTCACGGAAACCCAGATCGATACACACGGCTTAATCTATCCACGTGCTCTTAAGCAGCTGTTTGCTGGTATTTACTTGGCTGAGATCTGCATGGTTGGTCTATTTGCTGTCTCCAAAGCCGCTGGGCCCGCTGTTCTCATGGGCATTTTCCTCGCCTTTACCATCCTATATCACATTACGCTGTCGAGAACCCTCGACCCTCTTCTCTACGGCCTGCCACGCAGCCTTCAGGCCGAGGAGGAAGCCATCCTCGCGCGTATCGCTGGCAATGAGGGTGCCACCAGCGCCGAGGAAGGCCTGGCCACCAACGAATTGTCTCACGAGGACACCGTTAGCAAGGCACCTGGCACCAAGGTGGCGACAAATGCTCCCGCCAAGAAGGGCAACTTTATTCTCAGATTCTTCAAGCCTTGGATCTACTCCGACTACGCAACACTGCGCGAATGGTTTACTTCAGAAAAGCACTTTGCGGAACCGATCGAGTACCCCGAAGAGATTGTAGCTGAGGCCTACCTGCCACCATCTGTATCGAGCAGGGCACCAATTCTTTGGATCCCCTCGGACCCTGCCGGCTTGTCAAAGGTTGAGATTGCCGCTTCCAGCAAGGTGATTCAAATCACAGACGAGGGCGCGGTGCTGGATGAGAAGAACCACATTACGTGGGACTCTGAGGGAGCCCGACCCCCTATTTGGGAAGAAAAGATTTACTATTAAGGCGACTTGTTACGTGATACCCTCTCCCGTTTTATTTTGCCTGCCGCATAGCTGGCCTTTTTTTTTTTTTTTTTTTATACCGTTAGATATATATGGTGGTTTTAATGGAGGTTATTGGAGGAGCGAGAAGAGAGAGACTGAGAGGAATATCATCTTGTTTACGGGGTAACGTGTCATTGGTATTAGGACAGGGGACGACCTGAATATGTGATGGTATCACTTTTTGAGGAACACGGCATGAGGTGGAGCCTAGACTTAGATGAGCTGCATTTTGTTGTTGTATCAGCATTGGCCAAGACACGCAGGGTGTCTTGCATCTTTTTCTCTCAGTTTTTTATAATGTCAGATATGAATAGGAGTAGTAATGGAGAGCACAAGATGAATTGTCTCGGATGAGGGAGCCTTTTCCTTGCTTCAGTGCGCTAACAGTTTTGTCGGATGCTGCTGCTGGCTTGTTTGTTCGTGTCTATTGAGTGTCTCTGCTTGCCGCCCCCATCTGACTAGTGGACGGTGGTCGACGGTGGCGCGGGTCTCTGTCATTTCCCAGGCCAAGAAGCAAGTGGAGCCTCAGTGTAGCCTCGTTCAAAATCGTATAGTAACTGGATGGATGGATGGAGTCGGTGCATGAAAGAAGAAACAAAACGCAGCGTGACACGCATTGGCAGAGGATGATGTGCAAGGCCCAGCCAATGGTATAAGCTGCCAGCCAGCCTCTCCCAGCCATTGCTATATGCAGCGTCTAATCATAGCCCAGAGCCTGTTTTATATCATGTGCAACAGCTGTAATACACGCAGCTCTCCCCAGCCCCCCGCAGCATCACATGTCCCGGCCTGTAATAGGTGGCTGGGCCAAGATTCGCCCAAAACAGCAGTTGGCTTACTGTACCTAGTTCGTAGCGGCGGTTAGTATGGAGAAGCGAGAGAGAAAAGCTCGGGTCCCCTTCCCGCTAGGCCAAGCTTTGGTTGCTCCCGGCAACGACGGCCGAGCAGGCGACGACAACAAACGGGGTGGGGATGGAAAGGAAATTGAGCGTTCATTAGTAGAGAGATACGAAGTACAGCGGGCTGTGATTCACTGTGTTGGGAACATCAGATTTGGGTGTAGGGCTGTTTTGTCTGCGTGTATTAGAATCGAGTTGGGTGAATAAGTAAAAATACACAAAACAAGGCACTTGCAGTGTTGATGTAAAGTGTATTTGACATACACATGTATGTATCAAGAGAGCCCGTCAGTCGCACCAGCCGTACAACAGCCTGCCAGTCAGCGGCTAATCAGCCCAGCCCTGGTGCATGTCCAACCACGGCAACCACGGCCGCCTGCAGCCCGCCTGGCCTTGCAACCATGCTTGCCATGTTAGCTCTTTCCCTCCGCCTTTATCGCGCCTGCCCCCTTGTTTGGACGATTCCGAATCTGTCAATCACCACCCGCTGCTGCGCCTTCCTTTCTGCTGCTTGACGCTAATCGCCGGGGTGCATCCCACCGCTTTGGCGCCTTTTTCCCTCTCTTCTGTGTTTTTGTGCCCGCCAAAACAGCCTGGTCCAGGTCCCTGCGTCGTTTACTTTGGCTTGTTTTGTTGGCTTTTGGCCTTGCATTGCCCTTTCCTCGTCGCGGCCGCTTTGGCGCAGAGCTTCTTTCGAGGGTTTGCCTTTTGGATGCTGCGTTGCGTTGCGTTGCGCTGAAGCAATAACCATTTTATTGTGTTCTTTTTTCCATTTTGACTTTGTTTCTTCTTATCCTTTAGCTGCATCTCTAAGCTTCCTTTGCAGGAGAGGGGCGATTTGCCGCCACCTTTGGCCTCATCGCCATCACTATTGCGCGTACCATACGGACTCGGTTGTATCTTTGCAGGAAAGAAAGAGCTTCTCTGGGGCCATCAGATATCTGGCTCAGACGGTGGATGCGATTCTGAAAATTACAACGAGAGAAAGCGTACGGCAGCTTGAAAACGCCAGAGACCGAAGCCAAGAGCCACGATTGCGACAAGCCTGCGAGGGATCGACATGCCACGATGATATGATCGACAAAACGAACAAGGCAATCGAACTCTAGTGAAAACACCAAAAATCCATCTTGCGCGGCGAAGCGGAATCACGAGGCGAAATCGATCAATGGCCGCGCTACCAGAGGCGGTTTCTCGCGGACGCGCGCAGCCGCATCGCGCAACACCAGGATTGGCGCCGCCTTTGCGCCGACTCTGGACCGCGGCGCTGCTCTTGGGCGCTCCGCTGGGGGCCTCTGCGCACAGCTTCCCTTATAACCCCACCCAGATCTTTACGCCCAGCGTGTGCTTCAACCAGAGCGCGTGTCATGGAGCGGACGTTGCCTACATCTTCACCCAAGACAGCGACGACCACGTACAGTTCATGTCACTCAACATTTCGGGCTCGATTGGCGCAGACACAAAGCTGAAGCTTGTATCAACATTTCTGCCTTTTCTGGACGGAACCCAATCACCAAACACGGCGTTTGGCGCGGTGAGAACAGAAGATGGCTCGGTACTGGCATATGTTGGAGCATGCGATAAGGGGCCAGGAGACGTTTGGACCTTTGGGGAGGGAAGCGGTAATGCAACGTGGGTAAAGCAGGCGACCACCCTGGGTAAATTGAAGCAAAGCGCGTCAAGAGGGCCATATTTCCTTGGAGGAACAATTGCTTTTTCAGCGACACTGGCCCCTTCGCTGGATGAGCCGACGATATATTCTTATGGCGGCATGTGCGATACGCCCTCAGACAACTCGACGGATTGGCAGTCCGAGGCGGATTATACCACGAGTATGATGACTCTTGCCCCAACCGATAGCAGCCCGTCGTCAAAATCCTACGTTCAAGGCATCGCGTCTAGCACTGGACCTAAGACGCCCATTGCCGGATTTAGCCTCACCGCGTTACAGAGCTCAATGAGCAACAATTCTGGCACCGTCACTCAGCAGACCGCGTACGCTGTAATCGGTGGCCATACCCAGCAAGCCTTCATCAACATGAGTACCGCTGCTGTGTGGAGTCTGCCCGAGGAATCCTGGTCTTATATCAATGTTCAGCAGCCAACCGATAACGCCGACGGCATAGATAGCAGATCTGGCCACACGGCCATACTAGGTGCAGATGGACACTCAATTATCGTCATGGGAGGCTGGGTCGGCGATGTTAATACTGCGGCGGATCCGCAACTGGTAGTGTTGGAGATGAGCGAAACATATAGTTCTTGGATGTGGACAGTACCGAAACAGCAGCCCAATTTTGGAGGCAGTGGTATCTATGGGCACGGCGCGGCCCTCTTGCCGGGAAACATCATGATGGCATACGGAGGATGGCAGATTGGCGGCTCCAGCTCATCCAGCAAAGTGAAGCGACAATCCAGCGTTACCACCTCGCCACAGTTCTTGAACTTGACCGACATGACGTGGTCGACCAGCTACAACAATCCCTCGGCGGGCAAGACCCCTGGTAAAAGCCCAAGCGGCGGCTCCTCTAGCTCGACAAGCGATGCGGCCAAGTCAAAGATCCTAGGATTGAGTCTTGGATTTGGTATCAGCGGCGGAGCCCTCCTCATCATCTTGGCCGTCATCGGCTGTTTCTGTTGGCGTAAGAGGCAGAGGAGAAGAGCTGCTCGCGAAGAGACCATCAGGGCCATGGCTCAGGACGCGAGCATGTTTGTCCACGACACGTCCGAGATGGCTCGGCGGGACGATAATTTTCCTTGGGGCTATCGCAGCTGGTACTCCAATGGGCCAGATCAGTATCAACTTGGCGGAGATGACCGGTCTCTCGGGTATGAGGGCATGCGTGGCTCCTACGGCGGCTATGCTCCGGTCGTACCTGGAGTTGCGAGAAAGCCAGTATCTCGGCAGCTTCGTGGCGGTTATATGCCGGCGAATGCCCAGAACAGCTTTATGCCTACTCCAGGTCAGATTCACCCTATCATGGAGGATGAAGAAGAAGACTTGGCCCAGCAGCGTGTCTATCCTAACGAAGTCACTACGCCCACATCAGACGCATACTCTGATCCGTTCCTCACACCAACCGTTGCTGTAGCTTCAGGGGCTCTACCGGTGTTCCAGCCACCGCCCCCTGGTCAAAGCACCGCTGATCCACACCCAGATAGCTCATTCCAACACGATCCAGATGTGCAAGATTGGGTTTCCGACGTTGACGCCGCCGATGCAATGTTGGCTAGATATAATAGCACACGCCAAGGTCAAGGCCGCGGGGCCCCCATGAGGCGAGGCTCCCAGCGTTCGACTGGCATGCGAGAGGATGATCTCCGCACCGATTCAGCTTTATCGGAATCGAACCGCAGCGGGGGAGATGGCTTGGGACGATCCAGTTCTGGTCGATGGTCTAATATTCTTACCAGTGCTTTTGGTGGTACATCATCAGTCACCACAGAACCAGGCAAGCCAGGCAGCTCCTCTTCCAGCAGCTACAACACAGCGAAATCAGGATTTGGCGCCTTACAGGCAGAAGGCCCTAATCTGTTGCTTGGCCGATCAACGCCCCAAGACCCATTCGACGAAGACGAAGCGCCTAGTTCACCATCAAAATTCAAGCCACGGCGCAATTGGCTGGGCTCTTTGAGACGCGTCTTCTCTGGATCCGAGTCTAATTCGGGCGACTTATTATCCCCCAGGGACAGATCTCCTCAGAGGGAAATATCAACGGATATGCTAAGCAACGATTATGAGACACCGCTCACAGCCATAGGTAGTGAGATTCTCCGAAGGAAGCAAGGCCGCCAGGACTGGGAAGGTGCAGATGTTGGCAGTGCTGCAGGGAGAGAAAATGACTGGGACATTGAAAGGGCTGTGGAGAACCGCCTGGTGCAAGTCATGTTTACAGTTCCCAAAGAGCGTCTTCGTGTCGTTAATGGCGAGGATTTTGACGACGGAACAAGTACCGACGAAAGAATACCCCTCCATATGCCACAGACGGCAGAGCTCGTTGACATGGACAAACGGTCATCGCAAATCGAGCCTTCGCTTCGCAGCGCCAGCAAGCTCAGCTCTCACCTGGATGAAGAAGGCGGCGGCGTACCCGTAGACGAGAGAGATCGCGACGACGGCTTCCTAAGGATCAACCAAGAAGATTACGAGGAGAGGAGCGACCGGGACGACAGAAGTGAAAGGCCGCTTTCTATCGCAACAGATGTGTCGTTTGCTAGATCAGCGAGCGTGTATACGGCTGAAGCCATGACGTTTGAGCGGCCCAAGACGAGAGTGCTGCAGATGGTTGATCGCTTCGAGAGTTTTGGCAGCCATAACAGTAACGACAACAGTCCTTCGGTGAGCAGGGCGGGAACGCCAGGGCTGCGGACCATCAAGAGCAAGAAGTCTATGCGGAGTCAGGAACAGCTTAGGCAGCATTAGCAGGAAGAAAACGTGAGGGTGCGAACAGCAAATGATCTTTGGGAGGGGGGTTGAGTTTTTTTTTTTTTTTTCCCTTTTCTACGTTTTTTGTTTACCAAGGGATATTCAAGGGCATGTGTTGGGATATATGGATGGCTTGGAGACCATCTGGAGTTTTACATACCACCCTCTCATTTTGGAAGTGTAGCTAACTGAGCGTTTTTGTGTATTTCGGCGAGTTAATGGTGCTGTTATCTGCATGTATATATATATATAGGTAGTCTTGCATGGAGAGATGGGAGGATGGCTTGGTGGGTTGGCGGATGGATGGATGATTGGGATGTATCTAGGGCGGTGGGCATGTATGTATGTGCGCATGAGTATATATATGAGTTATTTCGGGCATCATTCAAGCGAAAAATTGATCAAAATTCCGTTCAATCCCAATCCGTGATGCGTCTAGTTCATTTCCAATGCCGTCCTATGTAGTAGTAGTCTGTATGTATATCCAAATCAATAAACGCCATGTCTCAGTGAAAGAATGCAAACAATATCCAATATCAGACTCGCAGCAGCCAGTCATCATAGTACAGTAATACAATAGCAGTCCCCATCATTTCCTCTCCCTCAACCAGACATTCCATTTCAAAATCGTGCTAATCAGCTGCCTCCCCGGAAAATCAATAATCACCACGCCCACCCGCGCCTCGTCGACATTGCCCGACGCATCATCGAGATACTGCCCCGTCATGTCATTCATGCCCTGAATCGTCCTATTCATCGGTCCCGCCGCGGCCTCAATGGGCAAAACACCCACCGAAGCAGATGTATGCGCCAAGTAGAGAAAGCGGTTGTCGTCTGGTGCCAGGGCGGCGTTCTCCAGCGCGTCGCGGATGGCGGTCCATTTCTCAGAGAGGTGGTACACGTCCGGGATGATCCAGAGGTCCTCGAGGACCATTTCGGCGCCTTCCCACTGCAGGCCGTAGGGGCCGCCGCGGGAGTCAAAGTTTTGCAGGATGAAGATTTTGGAGCGTAGAGCGCCCAGCGTGGGGATGGGCGCTGCGAATTCGTACTTGTGGAGGTGCTTCTCGGATCCGGGCGCAGTGAGCGGCGCGGCATAGTGGTGATAGTGAAAAGCGTCTTCAAAGGAAATCGTGTTGTGCGCGCCAATCGGGCTGCCTTCTTCCTTGAGCCGCATGATGATGGCCTCAGAAGGGTTCTCGTCCAAAAAGGCAAAGACATCCAGCAGCACCTGCTCGTAGCTAAACCCCGTATATCCATCCGCATGGTAGATATGCAGCTCGTCATCCCTCAACCTCGCGCGGATATCCAGGTACCGCAGCCCGCTGTTCAGCTGCATGCTCAGGTTCCAGTTCTGGCACTGCAGCTGCTCCGACTCAATCTCGTACGTCATGGTGTCGTGCGTGCCGGGGATGCTGAGGCTGGTGATGCGCACGTCGTCGGGGATGGCGGCCATCCAGGCGGCGTGGTTCTCGTCGCCGGCGTCGAAGCTGTAGAGGGACTGGTAGCCGCGGTAGCAGGTCGCGCCGGCGGTGCAGGGGCCTGTGCCGAGGGAGACGAGCGCGTAGAAGAGCGCTGTGGCGAGGAGGAGGATGAAGGCCATGAGGCTGGAGGAGAGGCGGCGGCGGCGTAACGGAGGATGGGGCTGATGAGGGCCGAGGGCCTTGATGGGGAGTGATATTGCGCCCATGGTGACGGTGTTGTGTATGTCTGTATGTATATGCGATGCGATACCGGCAGTATTCCTTTGCCTATCGTTACGTTGCGGATGGTGATTGGTATCTCGTCTCGTCTCGATATCCAATTGCAATGCAAGGATCGGTGTGCAAAGCAGGGAGGTCGTCCAGACGCAGCGGTCCAATCTATGGCAAACGGTGACACGCAATGACCCGCATCGGAGGTGGGCGATAAGTAACAAGTAATATCTGGGGTAATCAAGTAAGAGTTTAGTCAGTCAAAGAGCACACAGTAAGACAAGCAGGGCAGACAAACAAACCAATTCTTTGTCAATGCGAGTTTCAAAACACGGAAGTTGCCAGCAAAATCCGAGATGCTCACTGTTGTTGTGGTCGCAGAAAAAGGCAAATTAGAGATGCAGACAAAAATGATGGTGATGATGCAATGCAGATGCGATGCGATGCGATGCGACGCCGCGCGTAACCGGAAGATATTCTTAGCACGCCGGCGCCGAAAATGCTCCGGGCAAATCACGGGTTGTCACTGCAAATACAGCGCTGACTGCTAGAAATTATAGCAAGCCTCACTGTAGGTATGTTGCAGTTGATTGATCATGTACTACTAGTATAACACTAGGTAGTCCAAGGTAAAAGCAGAGATAAAACGATGCAAACCACTCATTTGTGGTCAATAATATGCATCAACGTATTTTAGTTCTTCAACGCAATTTCAGCCATTCATACAACAAGTGCTCTTAAGCTTCAAGGTTCAAGCCAACCCATGCCTTCAAACCAAATTCATCCCACGTGTGAAGCAGTATAGAGGCCAAGCCTCAAATCAGCCACCACCGCCAAAAACAAACCCTGTCAACTTCACCTCGAAACTCCAAATCGCATCGCATCTATCAAACTTCAATTGACATCTTTACAAGAGTTAGAGTACCTTTCGTACTTTCGTACTTACAGCCCCAGATTCTCTCAAGCATGCAAGACACCCCATATTTTCTGACAAGCCGACGGCGATTTTTGCTTTTTTTTAAAACTCAACACCACCCTATCCTGTCAACCGGTCCTATCAAACGTTACAAGAGTCCAGGATCGGCTTTTCTAATCGCTGATCCAAAATTCAAATTGCTCAGCCTCTGTAATTATCAGATCTCACGCAATCAGTCCCCCTTTTTCTTGGGTTCCCGACCCTCCCTTGTATGCATCTCACGAAGAAATCCTTCTTGAACAAGGGGATACGAGTCTCAACTCTCAATCTGGCAACTACACGCCACTTTGGCCTGTCAACTGCCCTCATTAGCTCCAGTGCCAAACAACAACGACTTCTTTTCCATCATCGTCCTTTTCACCGAGACGGAACGCTGTAGCACTACTCATCTCGGGCCTCAGTTGTGTCCAACTCAGCTGAACAGGCCCTCTATCCACGGCGCTACCGCAAATTAGAGTAGACCTAGACCCTCACCCTCAATATCCAAAGCGGCTTCTCGTATTCGCGGGCGCCGATTTGGCGCGCGGCGCGAGGCAACTTCAGCCCCGGGATTCACAGAACTAAAAAGTCAATACCAATTGCTCTCTTTTCTGGGGGTCCCTCTGCTTTAGACTTTGCGCACGTTAGGGATGGACCCTGGAGCGGGCAAGCCTCGTCGGTTGGATTCCATTGCCATGCCTCTTGGAAATAAGGGGAAAGCTCACACATGAAGCTTTGAGCTATTGGAAGCTTCCCGTAGACTCGGCCGCTTTCGCAAGCTCAAGAGCCAAGCCACCGAGCACGAGTCGGACGCCTACAGTAGGTATTGTACAAGTATATGATCAAGAGGGGATGGCATCTCACCCCCCAGATGCAGGGGGAGAGTCGGAATAAAGAAAGAAATCAAGAGAGTCAATAAGACTGCTACTTCTTTCAAACCTTTGTCCCGGCGCATACGATAATGTCAACACTTTCCCCGAAATTCCCAAATGGATCCAATTGAGCACGCGCCCTCGGAACCTTCATTCACAGCTCGCGGAAAGCCAAACTCCATAGGAACCAACGATTTGATACAATAGCAGGCAATAGTCTGACTCGAGCCATTTGCTCCGGCTCAGTGGGCGCGCGTCTCGATTAGGGCTGCTCCATACTTTTAACAATCGTGGCCCGCCAGTCACGGAGCTTCATTTTAGCCTGTATCAGCAGCAGCACTAGCATCGTTCAGTGGATAGACAGCACAGCTTTCCTAGCATCGAATCTTCCAATGGGCCACTGTACGCAGCCAATTGGTCACCGCAAGCAGAATGTGATGTGATGGTTCCAACGAGCGTGGCATGAAACGGTATGGAGCCATAACCCACCATACACAGCATCATAGATCACAATATGTAGAAACATGGAGCTTTACCTCCATCTCGCACTTGTAGTACTATATACGCGCGAGGGGGAAAAAATTCTCGATCCAAGTGGCTCAAGCTTCTGCTGTTCACATGGCAATTGGCAGTTGTCGGCCTCTGAAACACCCGGCGCGGTTGCTCCCAATAACAAGAGATCCATCTTCCTAGCTTGTCGATCATTTTTGACCTATAGATCGGCAAACGCGGCGTCATCCTTTGACATCAGATAGCCGAACATGGTTCAGTTTCATATGCTTTTGTTGAAAGTAGCAGTCGCTCTGCCGAGGACTTGCGGAATGTCAATGCGCCGTTTACCCATGTTGAGACCTTAGCTTCTTTCTTCTCCCAAGATGCTGCAACAACTTTGCTGCCTTGGTATATGTATACGGGTGCCAAGCATCGAGCAATCCAATACGACCAGTTGTGGTCCACCATGCCAGATTTAGGACAAGACTTTCGTCTTCAGACCCAACGATTACCTATTCAAAACATGGAATCACCTGCCGCATGCGCATAACTCTCCACAGCGCATTCGAGTGAAGGGCATCGTATGATATGATTCGGCGGCGCGATCCTGGGTCAACCGCTTATCAACGCCGATCAGCTCAAATAGCCCAACGCCGTGACATCCGGCATAGTCTTACTCAAAACAGGGTGAGTTGGTCCACCGCCAAAGACCAGAAATCCTGCAACATCCCATCTTTTTCCCTTTGCAAAGGCTGCGCATATGGGGAGGCTGGCGAAGGAGGTTGGGATGAGGGGAAGACGAACCGTGGGGGCTGCCCATTATTGGCCAATGCAAGAGAGCAGCCATCACAAAACAGGTTCCTGTAATGGGAACTTTGTGGCTGTCAGTAAAGACGCGTGGGTTGCGGGGGGGCGCTCTCATGTTTATTTTGCCGAGACCAAGCCAGCTGCTCGCAGATACTGTAGGACCTGCTGGGCGAGTTTGAGACCACTGCGGGGAACAGATTTGGACCTGCCGGTACTACTAGTTTTCACCAAGTACACGACGCTCGTACGAGTATAGAGCTGCGATCCATGCTCCCTGCTAAGACGCATGGTAAGGAAATGCGTTGTATAAAGCGGCCGGCTGACATAAGACGGCGGCTAGATGGCATCCTTTGCCAACGTAGTTGCCTTTCTGGAAGAACGATCGGTTTCATGGCTTTGTCAATCAAAATAAAGATCGATGGGGCCCGCGAGCTGAGTGTGGCTCATCGGTGTGAGCGAAATCAAGGGCACCAGCGCGGGGTCAGTCTGTTTCCGATGCGACCAGCCAAAGTGCGCGAGATACGCGTGGATACGCAACACCTTTACGTCGCCTTTGACCGCCAAACAGCAGGGGATTCAAGGCAAATAAGTGTCTGGGGAAGTTGACAGCTGTGTCCGATGCATGTGTGTCGGGCGTTGCCTTTGAAATCAGCGGAGCGAGCCATGCCCTCAAGTACGGGGTGATGAGCTCGTACGGCTGCGCCGGTATCAAATTGGTGCTCATCCGGAGTGGCAGGTACTTGTTGTCGATCTGAGTCGACAGGGGCAACGAGGCATCGTACTGTAGCAGACGGCGGCAGTGAAAAGACCAGAATAAAGGGCAAACGGGTCAGGCATGCGGTGCCACCATCCCCACTCTCAAGCAGAACCCCCGGTCCCTGCTTTCCCGTGCATCCAAAATTATCATCGTCATGGACCGGTCCCGAGAAACGTTTTTCTTTTTTGGCTTCCGGTGTGCGAGGCGAGAAAGAGGTGACAAAGCTTGGAGCGTTCCCCTGATCGTCCCAGCGCTGTCTTGGTCTGTCTGTCTTGGCGGATCGCCATTGCAATAACTGTGCGTTTGGACATCAATTTCTAGAAGTGTCTGTCAATAGCACTGGCGGCAATTGTCACCAGATCACGGCATCATCTCTCGATATTCCTGCCCTCTGCTTATCTCTCGCGTTCTCTTGCTCTCCAACCGCGTGATCCCGTCCTCTTCGTATCGTCCATCAGTCGGACGAGGCTAGTCGTCCAGGCCAATCCATGATACATGCCCCGAGCGGAATAGCGCAGGCCGAAGCGAATGTGCGTGTGTGGGTGGGCACATGTCCGAGATGCAGCTCTGGATCCACGGCCGTCCAAATCGTCAAAGGAACGGCGACGTGCGCTGGGCTCTTGGGCGCCATTGGGCGATTGAGCCACACTGGCCGTGGCGGTTACTAGCACGCTTGCCGTACGAGCAGCAGCCCACACGCGGTCATCTTTTGTGCCTCGTATTCGACGGCCACAGCACAGGGGTTTCGTATTGTTCGGTGCCGTGACCTGCGCATGCATTGAGAGCGAGCGGTATTCGCGGCCTGTGGCTCGGTGCGCGGTCGGAGCCTGCGGTCCTTTGCGCTGCGCCCTCGGCAGCTCGATACCGAAAGAATGGCACTTGATATTGAGGTCTTTGTTTGTTGCTCTCTGGCGATGGCAGAGATTGGAGACTATCGAGAAACCAGGTCTCGAAAGCTGGCTTCAACAACCGCGAATTGAATTCAGGCCTAGGCTGCTAGCTCCAGCGCTCACAGCTAGCTCCAGCGCTCACAGCGAGCTCTCCAATGTAACTTGCCTGCTTGGGACGCTGTGTGGTGGCCCCCTTGCCACCTCCTGCTATAAGCAACAGGCACTAGCTCCAGCACTAGCACTGCTGGCGTGGTGGTGCGAGTGCAGGTACCGGTACCTGTGCTCAAATTGATGGTTTTCTGCTGCTGGCTGCTTTGTTTAGGTGTTTTGGGACACGGGCGCTGCTGACGGTATGGACCGAAACTTGAGCGCCATCCATTGTCTTAGTATCTCGAGGCTCCGTAACAGCTAGCGGTCCCCTCGTGGGAGAGTCAGTTGATGGACATTCTGATAGCTGCCGTGTCAGTCCAATACGGAATAGGGTACAGGATAGTAAAAGTTTCGACGTCAGCTATGCGGGCCTCGTCGTGCCGTTTCAGTTGACGATGATAAGAAGAGCTGAGGCTTGATGCACATCAATGTGCCAGTGTCAAGCCACAACCCTTCCCGTGTCCTATCCGGAGCTCAGCCACAGGCACGAAGATACCTACACGCGGGTTTTCATCCATATTTGTGAATGAATGATCGGTTTGTGATGCAATACACTGCATGCATAAAGATTCTTATGCACGCTCTGCTCTCTGTGCTCATCATCGCGTCATGAGTACCGGATAACCCAAGAGCCGTTCCAGTTTGTTTGTATCCCCGCAGAGGACAATTTCTACAGCCACAGCTATAGGCTATAGCGCCACCGGCCTGATATAAATAAGTGTGGCTTGAGCCTGAATATGTACCGTAACAGGCAATGATATGCCATGCGAATTGCGAAATACGGCATCAGTAAACCTGCATGTATTATCGCCTCCCTTGCCTACTTTGTGTGTCTGTGTGTGTGCTACCTTTTTGCTTCTAGCCAGCTCATAACGCTGCTAGCCAACACCGTCCATTGCTCCGAACAGGGCATTTGCTCGCTGCATCTAGCAAGATCGCTGCGCTCGATCGCAGACGGCGGCCCAAAGCAGCTCCGGGCCAGCATCCCATGCCGCCAGAAACTGCGCACCCACTGTGGCTTGTCTTTGCGACCCTCCGCACGGCCTCTAGCGGCGCTGGCGTCTCGTTAGCCCGCTGGGCCAGATGCCGCCATCTGCTGCCCCGTGGCGCCCCAGTGACGCCATGAGCCAGGGGTATGCAACAGCCACCAGGTAGCGGTACAGGTACTATAGGCCCTGTTGACACCTACAAGGAGCCATCCAGGTGCTGTTTCCCAAGTAGGTAGATAGGTACTATGTAAGTAGATATAGTAGCTGTGAAGAGAGCAGTAGTAGTACATTGATAGAATCAAATTCATATTCTCTTCAATGTTCTCTTTCATATCGCAATGTAGCAGTGGTGTGGCCTGCGGATGCTTCTCTCCAGCCATCACTTGTCCCTCAGGCCACCAGGATGACCCCGTAAAAAAAAAAGTCCACATGCAGTCACTTGTCACTGCAACGCTCGGGCCTGATCTTCCCGGGGCCTGCTGTAAGGGAGCCTGTGCCCAAAAGGCCTGCAGCTGGGCCTTGTACCCAGTACTTTGCCTTCCAGCCAACGCCAAAGACAGGCAAACCTCCATAATACCACCTTACTCTACTCTTTTTCCCTCTCTCGTTTCTTCCCTCCTCATCTCCTCCTCTGCCATCTCCAACCTCCCCTGGAGTCGTTCCTCTGCTTGACTGGCTGCATCTCCCCCTCCATCAGCAACCGCCTCGCTGCCGCAGCCATTCGCCTCTCGCCATCGCTTCTCAGCCACACCCGACTGCCAGCGTTCTGTCAATCATCTCCCAGAGCGGTTTGGCATCTCCCAGCAGAATAAAAGGCGCCTTGGTAGTCTCCAGCTTAAGACATTTTACTCGTCTCCGCTTGCTGGCCGCCCATCTTATCCTCCTTTTTTTGGAGCCTTTTCTTTTTTTGTCTTTTTCCTTTCCTGTTTAATATTCGATTTCTGTTCTTGAACTCCTTGGGCCTGGGTACAGATCCCTATTGGGTACTGCGAGCGGCCTCTTTTGTTTGCCACTTATTAATATCGTCCGCCTTCTCTGGTGCTGCCTTGGATCTTTGCAAGTGCTTGCAAACGCTGTTTACGGCCTATTTGCGTTCGAGCCGCACATTCCAGTCGCCATTGTCGCCAATCCCCGAAGATTTACGGCCTCGACGACAACGTCACGCTTGTTTACGCAGCATTCCGGTGTTCAGTCTCTAGGCCATTGTGTCTCTGATTTGAACAACGCCCTCCCCGGCTTTTCAACCAAGACATATCCCACACACAATACTGCTGCGCAATTTGTTCAATAATATCGACTTTGGGTACGATACCAAGAGGCGATTTGGTGCTCTTGCCTCTCGATTGTTGCGCCTCGGGACGAGTCCAGCACTGGACGCGGCTTGATAGTAATCTGCTAAGAAAGGCGGTTATGGCTTGTTGCTAAGAAGCCATTCGAATTCGATCAACAAAAATTTTGCAGGAAAGGTTTAAAAAAACAGAAGGAAAGATAAACAAAAGGGCAAGGAAGTCACGTCAACGACCGACTTTCAAGGGAAAGCGTGTTTCAAAATTGCATGACTTTTTAAGTCTGCACCTTCGAGACCGACAATTTAACACCCATTCGACTCTTCACATATCTACCATGGCCTCATCTAGGAACAGTGGCCTGCAACAGGGCTATCTGGTTCTGCTGGTTCTGGCCCTTACAACCTTAGTTTCTGCTATAGAAGTTAATGTTTGCGCCAGTTTCAACACGGCCCAGACGCCATTGAGTAAGTCGGCTTGTTATGGGTAGAGCAACAAGACCAATCATCTAACTCTTCGATAGACGTCAGTATATACCAAACCAACGGACTCTGCGGAGGCTTTTGCACAAGGAAAAATTACGCCTTTTCCATCACACAGAAAAACTCCTGTTGGTGCTCCAACTATTATCCCGACCAAGCCTCGGTCGTCGACACCAAAAAGTGCAATGTACCTTGCCCAGCCTGGCAACCTGAAGACTGCGGAGGACCTGGCTTGTTTGGGTACATTCTCCTGAATGAAGTCGCCCCATCCGGCACCAGCACGGCACCAGCAAGCTCAACAACAGCACAGGTAAGTTGAAATTTTGTTTGCGGCGGCGCACGCGTGTTATTGTCCACTTGGAATCAGTCATGAAATGTACGGCACGAGACCATCATTAGGAGGACTGGACGCACACTTTCTCGGCCTGGCCGCCACTTTTTGTAACGCCTCTTCTTTGTCAAAAGCCTGTTCTTCTGAGAAACCAGATGGGTTTGGAACGAACCCCCTGGGATTCCAGATGAACGTTGTGATTGTGACCAATAGTGTGACTAAGACTGGTGCAGAGCACAACGTCAACAACGTCCTCAACAACGTCCAGCTCCACAACTGCTTCCACCACCGAGGCCACTTCCACCTCGGCGTCCTCCTCCTCCACCTCCTCTTCCACATCAGAGACGTCGACTACTTCTCCGAGTAGCTCATCCTCTGTATGACTTGACTCCTGGACAGCAGTTCCGCCGCCCAACTTTGAATGCTAACTTGACATGCCGTGAGAGAGCATAATAGCTAACATGTTTTATAGTCGAGCTCCACGTCGTCGTCATCGTCCTCGTCCTCTGCCAGTACCACGCCCCCGCCCTCCTCGGCAGCATCATCTGGTGGGCAGAGCTCCAGCGGCAGCAGCAGCAGTGGTCTTCCCCTGCAGACAGCGGACCCAAGCGGAGACCAAACCGGCACTACTTCCAAAAAATCCAAGTCGGGTATTTCATCTGGTGCCATTGCTGGTATCGTAGTTGGCGTTGTGGGTGGTGTGGCGCTCATCGCCGCTGCCCTCTTCTTCTTCCTCCGGCGGAGAAGGCAGAATCAGGACGAATACCGAGACGACCCCAGCGTCCGGGGTAGCTCATCTGGTATGGTGGGATCAGTCCCTCCTGAGATGAGCGTAAACAACGGTTCTCCAGCTTCGCCGGTCTCTGTGGCCAACAGGAACAGCACAATCCAGATTGATCCTCGAATGGACCCCTTCAAGCAGGGTCTCTACATTCGTGGTAGCCACGAGAGTCTCAATACTCTACGAGATGATCATGACTATTCACGACGCATCCAAAGGCCCCCGGTGCTTCGAGCCACGAACCCTGATCCTGAGGAGGCATAATAGGGAATCGACTGAATTTTCTCCTTTTTGGCTTATTTGTTTTCATACACGCTCGATTTTCTGTTTATTGTCTTTCGTTGCATTGGACAGGTCTTCTCTTTTCATTGGTTTCTTTTCCTTTTTGGTTTTTAGAAAAGATCGGAGCGCCACGACAACTATATGAATATTTGCCGCTTCGGTTCGAATACACATGAGAAAAAACAAAAGAATTTGGGGTCTTGTCGCCTTTCGAGATACCAGGATGGCGTTGGCAGCTTTCTGTTTTAATGGGGAAGGGGGTACATACGAGCAAGTAAAAGGGGTCGCCAAGTTGGTGCCGTGGAGATTGAGATTCGATACTCTTCATCACGAGACGAGACGATCGGCCCATGAGCGGCGCTGGGGAACATTTACGCGTACCACGGTCACAACATGACACGATCGCATCATTCCTTATACTTAATAATCACCTCGCAGTCGTTTTGGATTTGAGGGAGCAGCAAGCCGACATTGGCATAACCGGCTTGAGATAATGGAGTTTTGGGCAGAGCGATGGCCGCGCATAGGGGACTGTGGCTAAAATTGGCTGGATAGCTGTACATATTGGAACATTGGGGGAAGGAGTCTGAGCAGACATAACCGCGTATACAGCATGGCGGCGATCTCGGCAGCGGACATGGCGAGATTCGCCCAGCATATGAAGTGCTGAATAGAATATATTGCTTTTTGAATTGCGACGAGCGGTTTTGTTTGAATTGGTTTTGTAAATTAGCTTGTCGCCCTTTGAATATGGCAAGTTTGTGAATGATTGGCTGTTAATCAATAAAGTCGTCTTATTTGGCTGATGTTATTCTATTACTTAATGTCTATGTTTGCAGGCTGTGAGTGTTGATCATTAAGAGAATACAGTGTTCTTTCACCTTAGTATACAGCTTTTGTATGTTTTGATGTATGGACTGAAGACGAATAGCGTGCTGGATGATGACGTTAGAGTCGAATAGCATTACACTTATACATTACACGCCATCGCGACGATTTGCTATAAATCATAATGACAAGAGCAAAGACGAAACTTGCCAGTAGATACTCTTGGATGTCATTTTCACTTCCAGTGTCAAGCTGTTTAGTAGTAGTTTTCCTTGTTATCTCTATTAGAAACAAAGAACCAAAACATCAGGTGTGTCGAGATATTTGCAGCGCAGCATGTCAATTACATTCGAACCAGTACTATATTCCCAAGCCCTATCTGTACCTATACTTCTTTATATCAAATTTCAAGAGTGCAATACTGTTTGCACCAAGTCCGAACCATGCAGTTATGATAATGCTGCGTTGGGCATTCGCTGCAGGGTAAACAATAGCAGATATAAACCTCAACACACTTGCATCGCAGGCTCATGTAAACTAGACTAGTACATACTTATGAAACCAACCACGCTCTTCCTCAAGAGCACAAAAAAAAAGCACAAGGAATCCAATGCATCAGTTAAAAGATGAAGTTCCACTCTTCTCAAGTATAGAAAGGAAAACGAGAAAAAAAAAAGAAGGGCTTTCCGACGGAGACAGGATTCGAACCTGCGAGGCCGAAACCATATGATTTCTAGTCATACCCATTAACCACTCTGGCACTCCGCCTATCGGATCGCTTGCAAGACACGTGCCTAATAGTATCCTATAGAGTACACGTCATTTCATCTAACGGTTCATCGATTCAAGCTCCCACCAATCAAAAGATTCCATTTTCCCGAACCTGTTCATTTTTTGCCATCGAGTTTATAAATAGAAATATTTCCTCTTTTCTAGTCACATCGTAATTGCAGGACAGCGCCACAACGAAGCTAGATAACGCCACTCCCACTGCCATTCCCTGTAACTGTACATTCCAGTCGCTCGTATCCGTAACACACAGATAGGCAACCAATCTCATATGCAAGTAAAAGTATTTATTTCATCATGGCGAAAATCATCTGCCCGTGTGTGAACAATAGCATTCTTTCTTTCTCATTCTCTTTCTTCACCTCTTCTGTCTTCCATTCCCCTCCCCTTCATCTATATACACTTGTCCTGCCTCGCTTACACATGGGCCGAACATTTAGTTAAAAAATCAAGAAGCAATTTAATATCCGTAAAACAAAAAAAGCCATGATACCTCGCCTCTCCCCATTGTCGGCGGAGGCTAAAAAAGAGCATAATTGAAATCATGTCGAAAAATCAGATGCGAGAAAATGTGAAAATAAAAAGACCTTCAACCGCCGATTGCGCCCTCCCTACCGTTGGTATCGTAATTAAGACAGCCGTCATGATTGTTGTAAATAGTGATCGAGATTTCATCTTCCATTTTCAGTTTTATCGCATTTTTAGTTGGAAAGAGATGTCAGTCAGTATTTTTTCCCCTCCTCTCTCACTCTCTATGGTTGTTGTCTCCAGTCTCCTTGGTAGGGCTCGGGTGGTCGCTGAGGACGTGATGGGGGCGACTGATCATTGTACGCGTTGGGGTTGTAGGGCGAATGTGTGCGCGATGCGCCGCCGTACGGAGGTGGGTCGTATTCGTAGGGCTGTTGATGTAGATGCTGCTGGCCGTAGGCTGACGGCGGCGATGAGCCCATCGACTCCGGGTTGGGTTGCGCATCGTAAATCAGGCCGACTCTCTCCTCACCGGTTGGAGACATGACTCCGCCACCGACGCCGTGATATGCCGTTGTTGTCGGGTCGTCGAAAGCGTGGTTGTATGAACCCTGGCCAGGCTTGGGCTCGTGGAGATTGCTCATGCTCAAGTTGTTTTCGTCGATGGGAGCACCGAGCTTGTAGCTGATATCTTCCTTCCGCCTCTTGACGCCGCACATGAGCCAGCGCATACCTCGTGTAAAAGCCTTGACGAGATCCCACAGGTTCAGGGCATCCCACAGAGCACGCAGACCCAAGAAACCCCCAGCGTTGGGCAGAGAAGGCTTCTCCAGGCCAACGGTACCCTTTGATGCGTCGGGAGACGGGTAAAAGGATGCGCCAACACCGCGACGATAGACCTGGTATGGGAAGGCCCAAATGTGCAGAATGGAAAAGATGGCCATTTCGATGCAGAGAAGCATGGCTGGAATACCGACTTTGAGATCAGGGTAGGCGAGAACTTTGTTCGGGTGGACAATCTTGAGCGTCGACGTGCCGACGGAAATGGCCAACGATTGCCAAAAGGACAGGAAAATGACTAGCTTGATGGCCAAGACCTTGATGAAAAGTTTGTGCCCAGCGAGGGGTTTGGCCAGCTGGATGTAAAACTGAATGAGGCAGTACATGGCAATAGTGACGGAAATCGCATTGATAGCAAGAGTCTGAAGGGCCCCAAGACAGTCATGTTAGCTCAATCCTTTGGCTGTTGTTGCCCCTCCTTAAATATGACGAGCATGAAGAGTCTGAGAGCGATATGATTGGTATGCTTACCCAGATGTGAGCAAATATGGGAGAGTTTGAGCTCTCGCAGTAACGGCCAAAATGCTGTGTCAAGACGGCGGTAATGGTCATGGCGACTCGGATAAAGCAGTACTGATACACGCCAATCCAGACAATGTTGAACCAGGTAAGACCGCTCTTGGGAGTGCGCCACGGGCCTCTTTGTCCGCCGCAGCACTTGGCAAGCCAGTTAATTGGCAAGACCCAAGGCGCGATGGGCCGCAGATTCCTAAAGAACTCCTTTTGCGAGTGCAGGTCGGGCGCACAGTAGTGACATAGCAGGCCGAAAAAGGACGCGATGGCAAAGGCCTCGTAGCAGTCAGAGATGACGGAGAAGTAAGTGGCGTGACGGTACCATTCGAGCTGCATGTAGGAAGAAATGGCATAGACGGGGACCATGAAGAGGATACGGATGATGCTGCCGAGGATTGTTAGCGAAATTCATGCCGATACAAAGGCCGCAAAGGAGGCCGCAAAGGCCCATCTGAATCGCTTCTTACTGTCGCTGTTCTTTGGGTTGGGTGTAGTGCGAGGCGTGCATGAAGACGAGGTACAAGCTGAGCACCACGGCAATGAGAGTGCAGCCGGCGGAGATGACTCGCGCGAGGTCGTGGAAATCAAGAGGGCCGACGATCTTGACTTCGGATACTGCAGCGACGTTAGCTTCATGGTCAAGTCACATCCAGCCCGTCATCGCTCCCTGCGTCGGAGTCTGTTTCGTAGTGGCAGAAGCAAAGCCGCTGGGGACTCGAGACGGGAATGGCGAGAGAAAACGTACTGCCCATCTCCTCGAGCGTCGAATTACACGTTAGATTCAGCATGGCGGCGGTTGCGTCATCAAATGTTGTCTATCGTGTGTTTTGTTGGAGCCCACCGGGGGCAATAGCCGACCAGACAGCCAGCAGAGAGGCGCGCGCGCAAATCGGATCGTCGTTGTTCGGATCGTTGTTCTCGTCTGCCGCTCACTCCAGCTCTCGTACGGTCGAACGTCCCTCAAGCTCAAGAGCTGAAATTCTCGTGTCGTAAATTGCAATGGTGAAAGAAGCGCAGATTCGAGTCGTCGTTTGTCAGCCGAATTCCCTCCTCTTTGAGCTTCTCGATGCGGCGTCCTAGTCCGGGTCGTAATTCGGCGGAAACACTGGGGCTGGTTTTGAGATGGCTCGCCGTAAGTTCCAGCCTGTGGTCGAGGATTCTACGGGTCCACGTTGTTTGTCCTTGTGGAATGCCAGACAAAGGGCGGAATGAGGCGTGTGTCGCAGTCGCTCTGGCAGGGCTGGACAGTTGGAAGCGTCCGGAGACGAAAAACACAGATGACGAGGTGGAACGAGCGGATAGCGAAAGGAGAAGAAAGAAGAAGAGGAGAAAAGAAAAAAAAAGGAATGTTTGGCTGTGGATAAAGCAAGAATGAAGAGCGATCGACTGGCCTAGAGAAATAAGAAATCAGACAAGAGTATGCACGACAGGGATCCGGGAACAAGAGACGTCTGGGAGGAAAAAGCGAGAGGGAGAGGAGACTTGTAAATCCGGGCAGGGGGGGTGCAGAAAGCATGAAGCGGGCTTGTATAAGTACATGTACCGGTACGAGAGCTGGCCGGGCGCTAAGACGGAGAGTCGGTACGTGAGAGGAATGGGCTGTCTGGGTAGCCGCTGCGGCAGGTGAATCGTTTCGACATCGGCTCGTGGGCGGTGCTGGTGGCTGCGTTTGCCAGCGGGAGACGGCGCCACAGCACGAGGCACCGGCGCTGGACCAGGTACCGGTACACGTACACGTACAGCAGCTACAGGCAGTTGAGTGGTTCAGACGCAGGCACAGGCACCCCGGGTTATAGTGCGTAGGGGTTCAGTCCTCATGCATTGGCTGTTCACTGCAGACGACCCATGCTCCTCCATCTCATGCTCGTCTTCGTCTTTCCTATTCTGCAGCCCGTATTGATTCAGCCACAGCCAAACAAGCCCGCCACTCAAAAGCTCACAGCACGCCCAAAGCAGAAACCCCGTCCAAGCCCCTCCCATGCAGCAGAGAAACCAAAAAAAAAGTCACATTGACGCCTTGCATGCTGCGTGCGCGTGTCGCCGCTAGTGCTGCGGATTTGGTGTGGCAGGGGGAGGCTGAGCCGCTGTGGTGGGAGGTCACTTGGAGCAGTCGCGCGGTTTTGCTGTTTCAGAGATCCGGCGATTTTTGCGGTTCCAAAGACGGTTGAAACATGGCAGGCGGCAGCAGCGCAGTACCGGTACAAGCTGCAGCTTCGTCATCATCGTGCATGGTATTGAACGAACTCAATGGACTTGAGCTGTTCAATGGGCTGTTCGCTGATTAACTGCAGCGCCTATTACTGCAGCGCCTATTACTGCTGCTCCTTCCCGGAGTCCTACCAAGAACCCGCCGATCCACCGCAAAGGCGGCCTCCCGCTGCATTTATTCTTCTTTTGTAATATCGATACTTTATTTTATTTCGTCTACCGGCTTGTTCTTTTTGATCGTGTTATTTTTCCTTTTCAAGCTAGCTCGCATGAAGCGATTGGTCTACTTGATTCTCGATTCTCTTGTTTCCGCTGCTATTGCCCCCCTAATACGAGTTTCAAGCCCGTGGCCGGAGATCGGGACTGCGGAGCAACTAATAATGGCTGCAGGTACTCTATTACGCAACGCCTGTTCCTGCCAAGACGGAGTTTTCAACGTACCTGTACATGTACTTGTAAATGCGAATCTCGTTTGGCCCTTTTTAGCATGTGCTTGCGCTTTCGCTTACATGTGCATATGAAGACATGCAGACTGAGTGATGCAAGATGCAACATAATTTAGAGAAATAGAGAGAATTAATAGATCCTCTCATCACAGCGATACATCCAGCATTTGATCCAAAAACGCAGTCAGTGCACCAAAACCGCCTTGCAGATCATCAGCAAAACGCACATCATCCTGATCCTCCTCATCAAAATCCCGCCAAGCCCTGCCTCAGCCCCCTATAGAGAGCACCAGACGCCGCCCCAGGCACCCACTTTAGCCCACATCACACTTACAGCGTCGCTCCCGCTTTGCCCGCCAAACGCTGGGCTGGCTCCCTATTTTTCCCTCTTTCAGGGGCTCCTTATAAGGATGCGCGTCGCTCCCGCAGCACGTCACGTCACTGTGGGCTGCCCCTCGATGCTGTTTTGCTGCAGGATTCTGCACATCCCACTCTCCCGTTGATGCCGTATCAAAGTATCCAATGTCCATATATGATAGAAGCAAGCATGCACGTTATAAAACATTGACAGCTTGTAACGAAACTTGGCACAATCCCTCCAGCGCCAAGCCTGCAGAGATTGTATAATGGAAGCCTTCAATCTCCCAAATTGCCGAATTACCTGCTCTCCGCACAGCTAATCCCCGGCCCCGAACTCCGTATTTGTAACCATCACAAATTCCGCATCCAATATTATGTCTTCTCTTCTGCTGCCACATCGTGAACTACCAAACTGCAGCAAACAACCTACCCGCAACCTACTTTATCATTCTTTGGGAATGCATACGCACATACGCACATACACTCTATATCTCGCCTCACCTCATCTCATCTCGACTAAGCCAGTCAATCCTCACCGGCCCCCCCACAGATCATCAGCTCGCTACACTGCAAATCTGGCCTGGAAAAGTAATGAATAGTAATCCTTGCCATAGAGTAATACTGTAAATAGTAACACCGCCGCACAAACTTACACCAACGCAGCCTCCGCCACGATCCCATATAAAACAAGAAACCCCACACTTACACGGCCCTCTTCTCTATCGAGATAGTAGTCGATGGTGGAAAAGAATGCTCGTTTGAGACTCCATGAAATAGTCCAAAGCTTGCCCGCCAACGATACTCACCCTTCTCACATCATCCCGCTCTTCTCAACCCCATTCATGCCCATACATGAACAAATCAGACATCAAAACCCCATGCACTGTGTAGTACATCAAGCACCGCCTCTCAACAACTCCATACACGGAGTACAAAACAATCGTCAGATGTAACACAACAATAGACCGCAAATCTAGTATGTATTACCAGAGCTACCATAGCCTTTATCAAAACCCACAAACACAGCATAGCCTGAACATCCCTTAGACTACGCTCGTCACTTGCGATATCAAGCAACATTCACGACGCCCCTCCCATCTCGACATGAGACACTGCAGGAATACAGCCACATAGTAATTCCTCCTGCTACTACCGTTCAACCCTTGTCTCTCTATCTCTCTCTTTTTCCTATGTGACAATAAGTCTCCCTCAAAAATAAAGTTGGATTGACACATATTCCTCTCATACCTAAGCCACCAGATTACGCAAGCTTGCTGGCCATAGCCCCTACGCCAAGAAATTCATTCATTCATTCAATTTCTTATTTCCCTCATTCAATTGCCGACTTAACCGTAGCATGCGTGTTGCATGAAGATAGCGGCGCGTAAAGACTCTCTTGGCATCTCCCTTTGTCTCATGAAGAATAATCGTACAGCTCTCATCCTAGTGTCAGGGTAACCCTACACCTCGAATGCCCTTTCCCCATTTTAATTCTTCACATATCATACAAAAATGGCCAGCGTCATAAATCCTTCCAAACATCCCTAAGCCACACTACGATCAAGCAATCAATCAGGCAGATTGCAAAGTATAAGTAAGTAAAAAAAAAAAAGATGCGATATCGTCGTTATACAAATCCCCTTTTCCCGTCTAACCGTCCAACCCTCATAACTAGACCCTGAAATGCAATGCCATAAAATTTTTGCTTGCTTGTTTTGATAGAAAGGAAAACCAGGTTCTTTTTTTTATACGTTGATAGATTTGAAGAAGTGTGGATTATCCGTTTCTTTGATAGGTAAACAGATAAAACACACAAGATGGCAAGTATGTAGGTGAGCAAAGAGGTAAAAATGTAGATATGTAAAGTTGCATTATTTCTTTCGTCTGAATCGATCTCGTGGTCGTAGAGACCGCCGTAAAAGGAAGGGAAAAAAAAAAAAAAACCATGAATAAGTAGAGAAAGAAAAAAGACAAAAACAAAATAGTAGTGTACAGAACGATATCAAAGTTTCGCGCCTGACAAAAGTGGTAAAAATGTTCTGTAGCACGGTATGATAGTAGAAGGCTCCGATTAATCAAAATAGGTAATGAAGTCGGCTAGAGCCATCGTACCAACGCTTGACATAAATCGAACTCTCTCTTTCTTGGGCTATCGTCGCACTCTCTTCTCGCGGTCGCTCAACAAGGCCCCGTCGGCTTCGTCACCTCTCCTTTTGCGGCCTCGGTCATCCCTATGTTCCCTCCGCTGCTCCTCAGTACGCTGGGTTCCGTCTCTTTGATTTCCGCGGTTGGCTCTATTGCCGCTTCTATCATCACCGCCCCTATTTCCTGCCCCGCCATCGTTCCTATGCCGTGACTCTCGGCCACTGCTCGGCGTTGCTGCTGCTGTATCCCGAGAGCTGCCGTCTCGAGTCGACCTACGATTGTCTCTATCCTCGCGAGCCCCCCCTTCAGCGCCGCCAGCCGATCGCCTTTCTCGGTGTTCGCTGTGTTCTTTGCCATCGCCTCTCTCTCGCTCTCGGCTGCTCCGGCGAGACGGCCGCTTGGAGCGATCGTTTCGGCCATCCCGGTCTCGTCGGGCCCGTTCATGCTCGCCACGTCCTGATGCCTCTTCGCCGTTCATAGTGCCACCTCGGGCAGACGAGTCGTGCCATTGTGCTTCGGGGCGATCCGGCGTCGGAGGAGCCATGTCTCCTCCGGCCAACACTTGAATATCAGAATGACCAAGCATTTGTCGGGGAGGGTTAGAGCGAGGGCCAGTGGGCCGTCCTTCG